AATACTGCATTTTTGGTCTGATCTGTTTCTTTTACAGAAAGATCAATATCTAAATCAAATAAAAGAATATTTATCAAATGGGGGAGGTTGCTGTTTCATCTGATCAACAAGTAAAATTGAAAGTAAATGAGAAGCTGAAAAACTGTCTAAACTTTGAGAGAACTGAAAAAAATTGTTTCAAAACAGATGACAATTTATATTGGTAATTTTTAAATGAGAAATCATTTATTATTATATGCCATGGCTGGCCAAACTGCAGCTTGTGCTCCACATGTGGCTCTTTGACCTTTAATATGTTGCTCATGGAAATGTATTGGCTGAGCTCTTTTTGTCATCACAGTTAATATGAAAGATAAGAAAAAAATTTCAAGCTTTTTAATTATTTACCAGGTATGAATTGAGACCCCATTGGATTAAGACATAAGTTTAATGTTAATGTGTATGTAACAAAAATGTATATGTAAATTTTGTTCATGCCTTGCAATTCTAAAACATCTGAGTTTTATCATATGTGGCTCTTACATTAAGCAATTTTGGCCACCTCTGACATATATATGTGTGTGTATTTAGACAAAATTTAAATTCACTAAATGATATAACTTAGAGTTGGCCAAACAGCTGCTTGTGAGTCACATGCAACTCTGTGATCTTTAATATGCAGCTTGTGGAAATATGTTGACTGAGATCCTTTTCTCATCACAGTTAACATAAAAGATAAATAAGAAAATTTTCAAGCTTTATAATTATTTACTGGGTATGAATTGAGACCCCATTGGATTATAATGTAAGTTTAATGTTGATGTGTATATAATGAAAACGTATGTGTAAATTTTGTCATGTGGCTTTCAAACATCTGAACTTTATTGTATGTGTCTCTTACATCAAGCAAATTTGCCCCCTACCCCCACCCCATTATATGACATTTGAACAAATCTTGGATGTTACACTCTAAGCATGCCAGCCATTGTACTCATTGGCCTTCTTCAAGTGTCAATAACTTTCTATGAATTTTGAACCAAACCACTGGATTGTCAAAAGGATACGGGACCTAATGAATTAAAGTGTTGGTTAAAACATATCTGGTTCCTTGGCAGTTGTGAGTTCAATCCCTGGATTTGACAAGAAACAGACAAATGACACAAAGATGAATAAAACTGGTAAATATTAACTGACATGAAATATCACCTAAGCATGATACCCTGGCAGTTGGGGGATCAATCCATGGGTCTGGTCATGCTGAAAAGTCATATACTCTGGATCAGTTGAAGAAAAAGACAAGTGACACAAAGGTGAATAAAACTGGTGACTATTGACATGAAATATCCCTTAAGCATTGATACCCTGGCAGTTCGGAGATCAATCCCTGGGTCTGATTATACTGAAAAGTCAGCTGTTCTGGTTCAGTTGAAGAAACAGACAAGTGACACAAAGGTGAATAAAACTGATGACTATTAACTGATATAAAATATCCCTTAAGCATGATACCCTGGCAGTTGGAGATCAATCCCTGGGCCTGGTCATGCTGAAAAGTCACATACTCTGGTTTGGTAGAAGAAAGGGTCAAGAGACTTAAGGTGAATATGACTGATGGGTATTAACAAAGTTAAAATATGGAAAGCGGATAGAGAACAATCTATCATTACAGACTGAATAGAAGTTTTGGTTCAAAATTTCAAGTATAATACCTGAAGAATTCTATAGGCGACTATTGTTAAAATGTTGTGAGTATAAAAAGGATGATAAGTCTGCTGGTCCCAATAATAAAGCATATTACAATATTGCTGTTAATTTGTAAATTCTTTATCTGCTACCATTTTTTGCTTTACACAACTGAAAAGGAACCCTATTTTTCTGTACAAATCATAATGGTAATATTAGCCATTTCCTGATAAGGAAATTTTCTTTTTTATAGGGAAATATTCCATTCATCAGTCGACCAGCCAGTACTGCTTTTGGTTGATATTTATAAAATCTTTCCTGGCATAGATGAGTATATATGTTTTTACCAAAAGTGTCTTTTTCAGACATGGATGAATAAACACATCCAAAACATAATGTTCAAAAATCAGCTACAAACGTGTTTATACCTGAATCTTGATTCATTTTATGCCCTTCTGCACTTGAAACGAGTTCAATTGTCAATTCGTACATCTGGTAGAGGTGTTAGCCACTGCTCAGGTACTTCAAGGTACCTCAGTTTGTTAGTTACTATATTAAAAACATATAAAAAATTTGTCTGAAAATGAAATGTTTTTCCCAAAATAATTAGCAGGGAAGGCGTTAAAACAATTTTTTAGGAAAATAAGTTTCTCAAGTTCAGTAGCTGTTATTGCTCTGTCCAGTATTGATAGAGGTTTCCTTCACTACCTTTTATTTGAAGTAGTGTTTTCATTATCTCTTTGAGTTATATATGCTATCGATTTTAGCTGTTGCTTCTTTTGAAAGTGCTCAAGTGATGTGGTTTCTATTATTTGGTACAATTCCACAAGATTCAAAGAAGTGTGATCTTAACTAAGACACATAGGCTTTGTTCGCTCAGAGCCATTTTTAACTATTGATCTTAAAAACCAGCAGTTTTATACAGCTAACAGTTTAGATATTCCTAAATTTTTTTTTTTTAATCCATTCACTCAAGCAAAGCAATAATGCCACTAAGATACAAGGGGTTACTGGGAGTAAAAAAGAGAATGAGAAGACTTTAGAAGGAACTAGAAACCCAATCCTAAACAGGAAACAAGGGATAAACCTCTACTCGTCTATTCACCCCAAGCAAGGTGATAATGCCACTAAGATGCAAGGGGCTACTGGGAGTGAAAGAGAATGAGAAGTCTTTAGAAAGAACTAGAAACCCAATCCTAAACAGGAAACAAGGGATAAACCTCTACTCATCTATTCACCCCAAGCAAGGTGATAATGCCACTAAGATGCAAGGGGCTACTGGGAGTGAAAGAGAATGAAAAAGACTGTAGAAGGAACCAGAAACCCAATCCTAAACAGGAAACAAGGGATAAACCTCTACTCCTCTATTTACCCCAAGCAAGGTGATAATGCCACTAAGATGCAAACGGTTACTGGGAATGAAAAAGAGAATGAGAAGACTTTTAGAAGGAACTGGAAACCCAATCCTAAACAGGAAACAAGGGATAAACCTTTACTCCTGCTCAAAAGGGTGAGAGAAGTGTAAACCAGACAATAGGCAAACCTATCTACTCCTTTCATATGAAAGTCTCAATCTGACAAGGCTATTTAAGAACATGACACAAGTTTTCAGGTTAATGTTTTGGTTTTGTAGTGTTTGTCATAGATATGACAATAAACTACATCCAGCAGCAAGGCCTCTGATTGGGAGCTTTTGAGGAATGTGGAACCATATTTTAATTGCTGTTGTTCCCAGGTCTACCCTGACCCAGGGTGGTAATACCTGTTAGGGTCTTAGCTAAGAGTATATAGTGAACTGACAAAATGGGGTCAAAACATTATGAAAATATAAAAATACATTTTTGTAGTAAGAATACCAGCTATACATTTTCACAGTAAAAAAAAAAATAAAAATTACCAACAATACATTATTGGGAAAGGAAGAGAAAAATTACCAGCAATACATTTTTGAAAAAAAAAAATTACCAAAGCTCCCCAGGAAATTAAATTTTAGCATTAAATGACCTATAAGGACTTGTTATGCCATTAAACAAATCAAACCAAAAGTTCTGGTGTTGTGTGGAACTATCTCCAGTTCAGCCTATTCTATGAGATGCCCCACAAAAACAACAGGAAATTTGGTACAGTTTATTTAATTGTTGGAATTTTTGTTACAGTTATTTGAAACAAAAGCAAACGATAGAGATTTAGTAGCTTAAAACAGAACAAAAAAATGTTAGATGTTTTCAAACTAAAGAACTTTGGCAAAATTTATTGATATTTTTTTTAGTCCCCAAGTTGAATGTTCTTTCTTAAAGAGAACAATCACCTCGTGTTGAAAATTTAATAACTGCGGTATCCTGGATCAACAAATGGTTAAAAAATTTATATGTTCATTAATTTTTTTAGTTCATTCATATAGTAAAATATATAGTTAAGTTTTTTATATTAGTTAATTTTTATTCATCATGTAGTAAATCTAAAATATCTTGTTTTTTTTGTGGGGCACTGTATATTCAATTTCCTTTTTTTTTCGTATACTAAATTTGTTATAGCTGACCCATACACCAAGGTATTAGAAATGTTTAGTATTTACTAATTTCACATCCTGGCTTTTTATGGTGTATTCATGGTATGTGTTATCACTGCTTTCATTCCTGAAGAAGACAGTGGAATGAATTGGTTGAATTGTTATTGGAATAATAATAAAAAAAAACATTGATTGTTTGAAAAACTCCTTTAATGCAGCTTTGTCATTTAAATGACATAAAAATCCAGTTATTTTTAATGCCATGCAAAATTCCAGATGTTGTTGTATCTTGTTTCTCTTGGCTCTATGCCTAATTGGATTTAGTGAGTTGCTTTCTTTATTTGACAGCTGCTTAAGCCAACTTTTGAAAGAAGTGACATTTTGATTGCATAAGAAAGACCCAGCAACTAATTTAACTGGACAAATCTCAGCAAATGTTGGGTTGTCTTTTCCTGTTTTTGTTTTTTTTAATAATTTTTATTGTATTGTTTTTGGTCAGCATGATAAAAATGGACATTGATATGAGAGCTATCATGATTCAATCAAGAGATCCTTTTATATTGGTCAAAAGTAAACATTTCTGGCACCACCAAAAAAAAACAGAACAAACTTTTTGACCAACCCAATATGCCTTTCTGATTTCATGCTATTTTTTTTATTCCAATTTCACACTGTTTACTTTAATGGTCAAAGAGTGCATTAACCTAAAATTCTCATAAAAAGCCACAATAATATGAAGAAAATTAACGTGACAATTTGATGGTCAAGTTTCTACCTTTTGTCCATTCAGATTGAAAATAGGATAGCATTTGTATAATTTCAATTAAATGATCGGTCAAATCACGCTGAAAACACCGGTTCTCGTTCGATCACCGAAGTTAAGCATCGTAGAGCCAGGTCAGTACTTAGATGGGGGACCGCTTGGGAACACCAGGTACTGTAAGCACCCAAAGTCCAACCCTTACCTCACAGTCGGTGTGGGGGGGTGTAAACAGTAGTGTCAGAGCTATGCCATCCGGAACTTTGTTCCTGGTAAGGCCACCCAAGGTGGACAGGTCTGACACACACGCTGGCTAACAAGGGCTCTGGTGAAAATCCAAGGAGCGTCTGCATCGGCAACCGGCGGCTTCTGGTCGTTCCTGTCTCTGCGTCTGTGGGAACCCAGCGGCAAGCAAGAACGTTATCCGAGTAGGCCTGGGTACCCTACTTCTGTAATTTATCCCAGGAATCTTCTTCTCACAACAGGAAGAAGCCGGCTCAATTCGCCCAGGGTGAATACCGCATCAGGACAGGAATTAATTGATCTGGTAAATGGAAGTATAGATGTCACTCAAATATGACCAAGTAAAACTAGAAGAACATAAAAAAGCTGTAGTCTTTTTTATTCTGAGATACTAAAGAACCACTCAAGGTAGAGGGTTATTCTTAAAATGGTAATGAGGTATGTGATATGAATGGAGGAGGTGGTAGGAAGGGAATATTATGAGAATAAGGAAGATAATGATTAGCCCTTGACTTGAAGAGGTTAAGATTTTAGACATCAGAGATGCACCAACATCAGAATCTGTTCCACAAAGTTGCAGTTCTTAGATAAAATCTGTATTAATAGGATTTTCTCCTTACCTGTAAAACATGGAGGAAATAAGGCAGTTTTGACCTATGGCCTATCATAGGTGTAAATGTCTGAACTGGTAGGACTAAAGAATGGAGCATTCATCTGTCATGGAAATAGTGATAGAATAGCATTATGCTTGGAATGTTGCGCCAATGGGGAAGCAGCTTCAGAGAATCTATGGAAGCTATAAAATTAGGATGGCTGATCATGTGCAGAATTGGTAATCCAGAGTTACTGACCTCTATGGAATAGTCAGATGAAATAAAGAACATTAGAAAATAAGGTAAGGAATTTGAGCACATGTGAAGCTTTAATAATCTCCTCAGTAGACCTAGCATAGGATTGTCTATCATAATGTGGGCCTTTGATTAAAAAAACCAACAATTTTACTTTTAAGGCTCTAAAATTCCACTTGATTGTGTAATAATTATAAGCAATTAAGTATACAGTTTATCACATGGCTATGAGCTGAATCCTATAATCAGGTAGAGAAATTTATATACAGTGGTTCAGAAGAATTAACTAACATGACAACAGAGTGAGAAGAATGGATTAAATAAAGTGTTGGGTTGAAATCTCTGAAGAAGGCTGGAGAATACAACAGCTGAAATGATGGGATAATAACAACCAAGTTGAAGAAACCATTTTAAATAAATCAGTGTATAAAAATATTAATAGCTTGATTTTTGCAGCTATATATAAATATCTATAAATGAGGTTTTTGTCAATTCTTTGAGAGAATAGCAAATGTAATAAAAAAACAGCTTTGTTGGTGGTCTCTTGGCATATTAGCAGGTTATCTCTTATAATAATATTAAAAAAAGGATGACACAATGGTTCATAGGAGTCCTCATTTTATTAAGATAGAGAACAGAGAGCAAAGGTTTGCACGATAGTCAAGGTTCCCTTTTTTCAAATTGACCACTTCTGACTGCATGAAAAGAAAGTGGATGACCTGGATGCAAATACTGGCACAGGTTACTTGTGTGTGTGTGTGTGTGTGTGTGTGTATTTAGGCAGCAAATTCTCTTTTAGACATGTCTAATTGAATAAATTACAAACATTATGTCTGCTTATTTTGATCATAATCCTTTCATATTCACAAATATTTTTTTGTATATTACAGTTAAATAATATATTTAATTGTAATAGACAGAAAAATCCTCATGAATATGAAAGGATTATGATCAAAATAAGCAGACATAATGTTTGTAATTTATTCAATCAAAAACATATATATTGGACATTTGATAGTATGAGAATGCTTGAAACTTTTAGTTGTGGCTGGACACCATTCACCATGAATTTATTAACAAATATTAACACTCTGCCAGTTAATAAGGCATTGGGCTCTCTTTCTATGGTATGCCTCTATAGCATAGCATAGTGGTTGGAATGTCGAACTGAACCCTTTATTTCGCTCACTGGGGTAGACTTTTCTAGTTCCATGTACCATGTTTGATGGATGTCAGTTATCAGTTATCTCCTGTTAATTTTCCCTCTGAAATTTCTCCACTGCCTTAACCGGGTATTGAACTCACACTCTTTGGGTCCTGTCACTGGATCTAACCAACGCCTTTATCCACTGTGCCATGTGTCCTTGAGGACATCTGGGTATGAATTTCTACGTTCGACATTCCAACCACCTGAAGAAGGCCGGAGTGTACAACGGCCGAAACATTGTGATAAATATGGCGACAAAGATGAGGACAATAGTCCGAATAATGTAAATAATATACATAATACCTCATCTCAGAAATATAGACAGAATTAATATCTCATACTTAACATTACATTTTCTTCAACTCCTGTTTTTATCAATTACTGTCATTTTGTGTTGATGACTGACTTTCAAAGGAAACTACAGGACCTCCAAGACAGTGTTGTAGAAGAAAGTAAGAAAAAAGGACTGTTAATTCCAAGAAGACAGAAAGTATGGTCAGCAACAAGAGAAAAATCCCGAGATGCAAGTTACAAAGTGGAGATAAAACGTAAAGCAGGTGTAGAATTTCAAATGACTGGGAAGCATTTTAACAAGGGATGAAAAATGCAACACCAAGATCTGAACACACTGGACTTGCAAAAGGATTCCAAAAGCTAAGCAAGATGCTGAGAAACAGAAAAATTTCACTAGAAAGGAGTGTGGGACAAGACATTAGTGGTCATGGTGTCTTCATCTAGCTAATGTTTTATGTTGCACCGGCCTCTAACACAAGGGAATTACACGGTTCTCACTATATATAGTGCCAGTAATACCTACCGGTGTAAGCATGACAGTACTACAACTGCCTAGCTGAGTAGTACCCGTTTCCTACCTTTGTATCTGTGATGTTAAATACACTTGTTCTTTAAACCAACTTCGACTTGATTTTCTTATTTTTACTATTGTGCCACGACACAACATTTTACCATTATGTAGGAGGTATTTCTGGAAGGTGTATGTGGAAGATATTTCTGTCACACCTTTATAACAGTGAATGTTGGACAATCTCACCATAGATGAGGAAAAGACTAGAGGCAGTAGAAATGTTGTTCTACAGAAAGATATTGAAAATTCCATGGACTGCACAAGTAAGCAATAAAGAAGTCTTAAAGAAAATGGCAACTGAGAATCAAGAAGAGAAAGATGAAATTCCTTGGACACCTAATGAGGAAAGAGGGTTTAGAAAACTTAACACTCTCAGGGAATATTGGGAGCAAGAGAGATAGAGGAAAGCAGCAAGCCACTTACCTGATAAGTTTGTGAATGGATGGTGGAACAGAGGAAAGGGAGAAAAATTGCTAAGAGTCACATGAGGTAGGAAATTGTCAAGAGCCATAATTGCCCATGTCTTGAAGGGATATGGCACACAGAAGAAGTATATGAGTGTGTGTGTGGTCCCAAGTGCTTCATCTGAAATATGGACCTTACATTCTCATCTGTGAGATTTATGTAGATTGACTTTATTCCAATGAACCTCTCCATCAAAGGAGGAGCAGAATATTAAAATAAATTGATTAATTAAAATGAATGGTAACTAGGCAAATTATCATTTATACACATGTATTTACTCCTGTCTTAAGAGTAAGTTTGATATGTCTGATAAAGTAAAACTATCAGCTGATCTAAAAAAAAACAACTTTGAGTTGTTAACTGGGGCAAGAAATGGCTTGTAAATTTTAACACCTTCAAAATGAAACTACTATATTTTAGTCATTATAGAAAAACTATTATGTCTTTCAGCAGCATGGCTGATACTTACCTCCAGAACAGAAACTCATTGTGCCTTGGTCTCATGTTTTCTCCTGATATGAAGTAGAATGGTTATACAGAGCGTGGCAGAAATACCTACCACATAATGATAAGACATTAGTTAGATGAAAACACTATTGCCACTAATGTCTTACCATTATGTGTGAGGTATATGTCATAGTTATTACTGCTGAACCTTGTATTTAATCAATTACTAGGTCTGCTGCTCAGAAAGTTGGTTCACTGTGTCATGCCAAACATTTTTTCTTGTCAGAATCCATCTTGCACATTTATAAGTCTACCTTTCATCCATGCACTGAATATTGCTGCCATCTCTGGTTTGGTGTGCCTGCTAAATCTAGGGGGTGCCTCCAGACCTTTGGCTTATAGTATGAAAAAAAGATTTCTATTTTGAAAAGACAAACTTTGGAATCATTGACATGAGCAATATATTCTTTTGAATTGTCCTTCAACCTCATGTGATTATCTCTAGCTAAGTAATATTTGCTTTAATTCCTAATCCTAAACTATCAGATTAAGATATTCAGTAGAATCTGAGTCAAGGGTGATCAACATTTTTTTACTTTCCATCAGTGTTTGCTTTTTGTATTCATCACTTGTGTTTACAAGCAGAGTTACATAACTGTTTGTAGCTATTAGTGTCCTACTATTTGACTTCTACGCTGCTTAAATCTGTTTTACTCATATAAAAGACATTGAACTTCTATGATGATTGTGTTAGATCTGATTACATTAAAATTCTTTTTTTTTTTATTGAAATACATTGCTTAAATTTTTACATATAGAAGTCTGTACATTGTAGTGGCTTTGAAGAAGTGCATTATTGGGGATTTTATTGTAGAACTATGTTGCTGGGGATTTTATTATAAAACTGTGTTACTGGGAATTTTATTGTAGAAATGAGTCATTGGGGATTTTGCAGTAGAAATACATTACTGGGGATCTTAATATTATTAATATATAACTAATAATAATAGTAATATATTACCAGAGATTCTCCTATAGAAATGCATCACTAGTGATTTTGATGTAGAAATATGTCATTATGGATTTTACAGTAGAAATAACTTATTGAG